TCTGTATTGGGGTCCCTTTGTTTTGGGAAACTACCACAGGGTTAAAGGTTTTAGGGTTAGGGTTCAGGGTTTCTAGGTTCCCCAGTGATCCCTCAATAAGAAGGGTACCCTTAGTCCTAATATTCAGTTTTTAATAAGAAGACACCAAAATAAAAAAAGGGAAAAAGGGTACTGGGGTACCAAGGTTTAGGGAGCTTTCAGGTGGATAGTTACCAGGTGAGTACCCTTACATACGGCTTATATGGGGAGCGTAGGGGTGCGTAAGGGCTATGTAAGGCTTACATGGGGTATTTCCTGATTTATGCTAGGATTTAGGTTCCTACTACAATATTTAACGTGGGCATGCTTTATCTATATTGGGTTCAGGCATACCCGGAAAATGCGATTCAACAACAACGCAGCTAAGCCCTAACTTCATGTTCTCTCATAGCCTAAACCCTAAACCCCAAAACTTCGGCAGAATATACACCAAAAACCCTGATCCGATTTCCAAGGCCTTCGGCGTACACCCAGATTCCATTCCATTCTCTCCACTTTTTGATTCTCGGTCAGTCTGCTTCTTAACCTCCTAAATTTAACCCAAAGATCTGAACCGTAAACCTAAATAGTTGTGTCCCTTTTTTTCATCCCCCTATATTCCCCATATATCCCCACATATCTCGACGTCATCCTATATAAGCCCTACCTAAACGCTGAACAATCCAGGGTCGTTTTGCACACTGACCACAGAGACCAGGCAGGGAAGAAAGGCGTGGATTTTGACCTGGGTTTCGCTATTCGAGAACTTGGCTTCGGGTTAAGGGTTTACAAATTTAGGCCTAGGAGTTTTGGGGCTGGATCTTGACTTGGGTTTTGCTATTCAGCAGCAGGGCTATCTAGGGATAATTATAGGGGAGCAGAGAAGAACATGGAAACTATTAGATTACTTAGGGTTTAGGGTTGCAGTATGTTAGAGGAAGCCGTATCTTTTGCTATATCCAGATTATGGTAACTTAACCCTATACCGTATACCAGTAACCTTATATGACCCCAGACGACGCACCTACTACGGCTTGAAAGGGAACAGATCCTACCGCAACTTGATTTTATGGTAGGATTTTGATTGATGGTTCACCCAAACTGGACATCAAAATGAAAACGCTCGCCCATACTCTTAAAGAACCCTATATACTATCACCAAACACAAAAATCATAACCCTACTTTGAAGCTTAACTTCCTTCACTGTAACCTCAACTTGCCCATCGTAGGGCTCCATATAACTCTTTGAACCCTAAACCATCCTAATCCACAAAGGGAACTCATCTTAGGGTAACCCGATTTCCTAAACTTCTTCAACTCTAACCTTTATAGGCGTTCCTAAATGATAAACCCTAAATCCTAAACCCTAAATCCTGGACCCTAAATCCTAGATCCTACACCTTTTAATTAAGGCCTTCCATGGCCTTCCTTAACAGCAACCCAGTTACCGGCACGAGGCCTAGGATGGCCTGCAGACAGCGGCTCAAGGCTTAGGGTTTAGGATTTAGGGTTTAGGATTTAAGGTTTGCGATTTAGGGTTTAGGATTTGCGATTTAGGGTTAAGGATTTGGGGTTTAGGGTTTAGGATTTGGGGTTTAGGGTGCAGGATGTGGGGTCTAGGATTTAGGATTTGGGGTTTGGATTTAGGGTACAGGGGTCTAAAAGAGTTAGGGTTGAACACGAATTTAGGAAATATGATATATCAGGTTTCTCACCAAAATTATCGGCACGATTTGGAGGTTCCCATAATAGGGGTTTATGTTGGGGTTCCCTAGTTGAGGAAACCAGCATACGGGGAAAGATAGGGTGAGATACAATACATAATCTAGGTTCAAGGTTTGAGGCGGTACTGTGTAAGCCTGAATTTGCCCCAATCCCCATTCCAATGGTGTTTGATGCGATGTTACCTTTGCCCCCGGGTAACTGGGATAAGGAGTAGTATCTGTGCGCAGAACAGCTGGTGTGGAGTGAGCTCGCCTCGGGTTTGTTAGTAGTACAATAAGGTGCACACTTTCTTCCTCACAGTAGGGTTAAATTAACCCTCTACAGTACCTGTAAAGAAAGACCAATGAATCAGGCTTCCATTCCATCTTAGACGGTTTTTGCTCCTGGTTCGCGCACTGCCATATTCCCCTACAAACCCTTCGGCCCTTGGGGATGTACATGAATGAAGTCCCTCTTAGGATTGTGGCAAGAATGCATGAGCTGTAGTCTAAACTCCTAGCATCCTCTCAAGTAAGTCTCATAGTAGTCCCCTATATAATCCCCCTTTATGGAGTTTTGACTATAGAATAGATGCAGAAACTTCCGTATCCGCTTTCTGGGTCTGCCTGGACTGAAGACTTCCGCACTTCCCATCGATCTGAGTCCTGCGAAGCAGACATCAGGATGGCAGGGTAGAGGCGCAAGGCCAGGGTTTATGGTTGAGGATGTAGGGGCGAGGCCTTCACATGCTACCACAGCATGTCTTAGGCATGCCTTGAATGGACCCCGACATGTGTTGTAAAGGCAGGTGCATCAACTAGCAGCAGCTCCACCATGCTCCACCCTTGCACCACGCGGCAATCTCCGCTGAGGTTCTCATAGGTTTATTGTCACGCCGAAAAGGTGAAACAACAACCGTAAAGAAAGCACGTCCACAGTAATACTGATAGTAAGCAGCTGCAAGAAGAAGAGCTGTTTTGTAGCACAGTAGCAGCAAGCACAAAACACTAAAACTCTCCCCGGCGCTCCAAATGCGCCGCAGCGGCTGCCACAGCACCACGGTCATAGCCCAGCCTGGGTTGCTGTTAAGGAACTTAAATTAAGTTACCATAATGGGTATATATAGTAAATAATAGGGTTTCCCCAATATAGTAACTTAAAGTCTAAGTTCCTTAAATCCCTATTCCCCCAGTTTCCATTTCATTTTCCATTTTCTTTTCCATTTGATGCTCCATTATAGGGGGATAATATAGTAACTTAATTTAAGTTCCTTAACAGCAACCCAGCAGCGGCCCTACTCCGGCAATGGCCGCCAGGCCCTCGACCTGAGGTTCTGAATATGCACGGAGCTTACTAATTAGCATTTATATGGTAGTTGCCCAAAATAAGGGGACTCCCAATATAGACCCCAACATACTATAGTCCTTACTATGGGGACCCCCAAAAATGTACACCCTAATTTTGGGAAATTACAATATAAGGGTTAAATGGAAGTCATAGGCGATGCCTGCATGCCAGAAGTGCAATTCAAGTGACTGCCGCAGCACGGACCTCGGGCTGCTGGTGCCTCGAGGGGGCCGAAGGCACGGTGTGCTAAAGAGAGCAGAACTCTGTGTATAGTTCCCCTTAGATGGAATATGGGGTAATATTTGGGTTATATTGGGGTTATATGGGAATAATGGAAAAGAAAATGGAAACTACTATATGGGGTTATATAGGGTATAGAGTGCGTATATGGGGATCTTATTAAAATATACCCCAAGACATATTCTATCTACTTAAGGGGGACTACATATTGCAGCGGTTGTTTAGGGTGCCCGTGCCTCAAACGCGACGCCACTGCAAAGATTGGGTCCTTCGAACATGTCAGTCGATTTCTGGAACTTGCCAGAAATTGGGCGAATGTCTATGGCAACAAACCATGGCAATGGCCCACTCATGCCCCACCCTAGGACACAGGACGCATGATAAAACGACTTATCGACCAAGTTTGTAGCAAAACCTAGCTGGGAGCTTGTCAAAGCTACCAGCTCTATATAGTCCTCAACGGGGACCCACTCTCATAATCCGTATATAGCCCTGGGGTGTTTGCGATTTAGGGGATAGGGTAGAGATACCCAGTTTGCTTCGGTTTGGTCTGCCACAGACCCCAGAGTCGTTACCGGAACTTGGGTGCAGGGCTAACATGTAGCAACTCAAGTATTGTGCTGTTCTACTCCCTGCTGACAATTTCCAATATATTCTTCGCTTTCGGTATAAACCCTAAACCCTACACCCCTTTTGTTCCAGCCAGCCCTTCCCCTTTCGATCCTGGCAGCCACGCGCTTGGCTGGCCCTGAGGAGGGTGATGGCTAGCTGCCGGACCTCCACCATTCGAATCCCCTCCCTAGTTGTAGCCCCTTCCCCCCACGTCCCAAAAAACAAATATTACAGGGAATGTGTTACTATATACTGGTACTATGTTAGGGGTATTTACCCTGAAGCCTAAACCCTAAGTATTTACTGATAGGGGGGGGTGAGGGTAAGCCCAGGATGGCACTGTAATGGTATCAGCTGCGAGAAGTTGATGGTGGAAGCTTGATGCTGTTGCTGGTTCTTAGTATGGAGCAAAAGAGTATATAGATTACATAGGGATTAGATTCCCCTCTTCCTTACTAAGAACCAGTAAGCAAAAGTTCATCCAGGGACAACTGCAACTCATTAAGGCTACTCAAAGGGGAGCTTAGGGGGGATAGTATAGGCGGGGTGTAGTACGGGAACCCATGATGATAGTGAACTCCGAAACAAACGCTACCAACAAGGATGCAAAGGCTAAGAGGAGCAATGAGACCAGTAACGAACATGGCATAAAGAGTCAGAACAAATGGTGAGGATTGCCGCATGCTTGCTTCTCTGCTGGGCCGCAGCAGTTGCATCCTAAACCCTAAGCCCCTGAATCCTAAACCTCCTCCGTTCTAATCAAGCTAGGGGATATTACCTGCCCTTCCTAGGCTCCAAGACCACAGCAGCGCATTTCCGAAAATATTGCATGCCAAAATCATCTTTTCACATTTGTTGACTAGCAGTGCCCAGAAGCGCGCAGCTCAGACGATTCATAGGATCTAGGAAGTGGACCCACAGCTTCGTACTCCACTACACTGGGTTGTTTGCTCTGCATGTGTTCACTGGGGCGTCTGCCCTATATCCTAAAGCCTAGCCACTAACACCAGTCTTATTGTAGCCCTAAACCCCTCAAACCCTCAACTTAAAGCACTACAAACGACTTATTTAAAGCCTTAAAACCCTGACCGCTGGAATCCTCGAAGCTCTGAGGTCTTAAACGCTTGATATAACCAAAAAACCTTCACCCTCAACGCTTTGAAAAGGGTTTAGGGCCCGAGTCCCTGAAATTCTGAACCGTTTGACCCGTACAAGAACACTAAAACCTGCACCCCTAAACTCTCAAATCCCTGAAACCCTCAGCCCTTAGACCCTCAAAATAAACTCAAACCCTAAATCCTAAACCCTTAAATCCTATAATCTCAGTTTCCATTTCCTTTCCACGCGGTTTCAGGTTTATGGTTAAGTTCTTCCTTATTGTTGATAAACACCCCTACAACTCTAAACCCAAGCCCATAGAATCCCTCCCAAAAGGCTAGACCCTAAACCCCATCCGTGGCTTTGCCATTGCTGGAGGTTAGCCTCCCTGCTTCCATCCTCGAGGCAAGATGCCACAGCTGAAGCCTGCATTGCTTTTAGGTTGGAACATGAAGGGATTTTAGGGCTTAGGGTTTATGTCGAGTATACTCTAAGGGATTTGGAACCCCAGTAGAAATTATAATTTCAGCTAAATATTAGGATTCTAGGTAACAGAAATTAAAAATATTTTCAGGAACCTTGTAGTATATGGTGCGGCTTAGGGTTTAGAGTTTAGGGTTTGGGTTCAGGGAACGTAAAAGGATATCTAGGGCTACATGGGGTTAGGGCGTAGGGTGTATAGGGGGTCAGGGGATTATAGGGACCTTTAGGGCTTATGGAAGGGGGAATTGGCAAAAGACATGTAGGCTACGCTATGGTTCAGGGTTCAGGATTCTTCGTGGCAACTGGGGTAAGGGACCACCTCAGTCGGCAATGTAAGTGCGCAAGAAATGGTGATAGCAACAACAACCACAACGTCTGTAGTAGTGGTGGTGTTAGTAGTAGGAGTTAGTTGGGGAACGTGAGAATGGAAGCTGCTACATTATTCTCTGAACCCCAAACCTTAAGCAGCAAGGGGGCTTAGGGAACCCTAAGCCCTACCCTAAACCCTGACCCTAAACCCTCCTACAAACGTGGACCAGGGAGTTAAGGTGCCTGATAGCACAAGTAACCTAATACTGGGGTTATATTAGGATGATATTGGCATTATATTAAGGTTCTATTGGGGTTATATTGGGGTTATATATATGTATATAGAGACTGTCACCCTATACTCGAAACCTTGGCTACGCATGTCGTCTCTTCATGCCGTTTTGCTTTACACCGGCTCCAAGCGACGCCACACCCCTAAACCCTAAACCCTAATCCACTCCCCCTAATCTGAAAACGTGGCATACTATGGTATTTTGGTAGTATATGATATTAGAGGGGTGGGGGTGTGTAATATTAGGCGGAGAGGATTCATCGCTCGACCTTTACGCAAGGCTAGGCCACCAACGAGTATAGCACCCCCCCTTGACTTGGAACATCCCCCCCTTATGTTTCCACAGCTAGGGCTCACCTTGCATTGCTTTTTGAATTGAAGACTGAATTAACGCAAATTCCGCAGGTGTACTATATCCCCTTATTCCCTACGAACCCTAAGCCCTAAACCCTAAACTCTGAACCCTAATCCCTACGCCCTAATCCCTATATGATGTTTGTCCTACTAACCCCCAAGTAAGTTCAAGCCAAAGTCTGTGGCTCCCTGGCTTGCTGCTTAGGAACTTAGGGTTTAGGGTCTAGGATTTAGCGATTAGGGTTTAGGATTTAAGTTACCAGAATATGGGTACGTAGTAAATAAAAGGGTTTCCATATTATGATAACTTAAGTTAAATGTCTTAACAGCAACCCAGGAATTTGACTACGCCTTCTTCCAGGGGTTCGTGGGCTCAATTAACGAAGTGGGCCCAACATTTGCTTCGCCAAGGTGAGCCAGCTTTTCATGCTGTAGTCCTTCTGGATACGCTCACATCACGCCACCGCAGATATCCTTACAACCATGGTGCAGAAAGAATGGCACGAGCCCGCCTCCTCAGGACCGGAAGCATAGGTCTGCGACGTCCAAATGAGGACCTCAGCAACTAGAAGGGCTTGGGGCATGCGCATGAAAGGTTTAGGGTTTAGGGTCACCCAAAACCGCACGAATGCAAGTTGATGCCGCGGATAGAGATGTATGCTGGCAACATGGGACCATCATAGAAGCAGGCCAGATGTCAGGAACAATCGACAAATTCCCCTAGAGGCAGTTGAACGTGGCACCCCATTCCTACGAGAGTACTATATTGTCATTTATTCTTACTTCTATCACCGTTACTATTGTTACCATCACCATAATCACTATTCCTGTTGTCCGTGATACTATGATTGTTGTCATCCTTGTTCTTACTTGGCCCTAAACCCGAAAACCTAAAGCCTAACCTTTAAACCGGGAGGGGAGTAGAACGGCCAAGAATCTAAAGCTTCCAAACAGTCTCGACGCACGTCGCTGGTCAACGTGGGAAGGTCCAAGGCCACCTTCGCAAAGGTCTGGCGCCCTAAGGGGTTTAGGGTTTGGGGCGTAGGGTAGGGGGAGTAGGGAATTCCTTAAACCCTAAACCCTAATCCTGCAACCCGAAATCCTAAACACTTTAACCTTAGACCCTACAGCCCGCCAAAAACTTGTTTCCTGGGGCTGCTTCTAGTTACAGCTCCTCCTCCTCCTCCTCCTTCTACGACGACATGCAAAATACCTCTGATATAGCACCATTACATAGGTTTCAGGTTGAGGGGTTGGTTCTCAGGGTCTAGGGCAACAAGTATCCCAGCATGATATAATACTAAGGTAGGGAATTACCCGCTTGCATGCGCACTAGATTTATGGCTTTGGGCCTTAGGGGCCAGGATTTAGAGTTGAGGGGCATCTGCGTGTTCAAGGTGGCAAGGGCCATCGGCGTTCGATGATTGATGGTCAGAGCAAACTGAGATCTGTACATACAAAGAGTTGACTCCTAGGAACTTCTCACAATCCAAACCCCTAGTCTGGCCTGGCGGGCGTTGTCAAATATTATGCGGTCTTTTAGGTACACAAAAAAATGGGAGCCGCCTTCACGAGGGACCCAAAAAGGGGGCATAGCTTTAACCACCCTCCCTAAACCCTGAACCCTAAACCCTGAACCCTCACTTCTGCTCTTTCTGCTGCGCCTTTGGGGCTTGTAAGTCGACAAGACATCAGCCCAGGAAACCAAACTTTTGAGGTCCCCCCTGCCATAAACCCTAATAGGCCCTAGGGTTAGGAGGTTTAGGGTTTAGGGTTAAGGGAAATCCTGTTTAGGGTTTAGGGTTTAGTCTACTGTAGGAGCCTACATGATGGGAATGCATCTTTGGGGTAAACTATCCTACCCTTCAACAAATCTTTAAATGTTAGAATAGAAAAACAGTCAGGCGTCTTCGTCCAAAATCGAAGCAGCGTGTTTATACCCCCAGGTTCGCATGTTCCATTTTCCGATTTCATTTTCCGTTAGTGGTACTATCCCAAAACCCTATATAAGCCCATAAAAGGCAAATCAGGCTTGTACTCTAAGCCATCTAAACCCAAAACTCCAAAACCCTAAACTTACAACCCTGTCAGGCTCCTTGCCTGAGACACCGTGTCATGGTCTTGGGTACGAAGCAACCGTGCAAAGGCAGGGATAGCTGCCAGGCGCACGTCTTGTACCTGGCCAAACAAAATTCCTACCCATGGGTGTAGAGCTTGTGTAGTAAGTACATAAGCCCTGAACCCTAAACCTCATGACTAATATCGTTCTTGCTTAATGATCTTGACACCAATGTTTGTGGTCGGGGGGCTTTATACAAAGTTCATCTACAATAGAGCAGTGTAGAGCTTGGCCAGTGAGTACAGGAGGAGCCTGAACAAGTACTTTGCTTCTGGTTGTTTTTGCCGCCTCCTCTCAGTCTATTCCTATCCATGCGTCACCCTAGTTTGGATATTTCCCCAGCATATGAACGGTCATATGTGAGCCTTTTGCCAAGGGCACGATTCGTTACAACAGTTGCAAGATTGGGGCAGTACCCAAGGCAGAACTGAAACCTAGTCTGGTCATATAGTTCACACTAGACCCTATCGCCCTCTTAAGTAGATAGAACATGGAATACGCCAAAACGTCCTGCTCTTGTATAATGAGCATTATACTTCCTGGATTTAGGCAAGGGATGAGGGAATATACTACATGCGAATTACCTAGAGAAAGCATTTCCTTATTCCTTCCTAACCACTAGTAAGTATATTTCGTTGGCAAGACAGAGGGTGTGTAGTACCTACATTTTCTGTAGCCTCCTCAGACCTATAATAAAGATAATGTTTTCATACATTCCTTAGGGTTATACCATGATAAGAATTAGAAATAATTCCTAAGGAGACTACAGTTTTTGCTGGTTGGAAAGAGGGTGTGTAGCTATGAGCAGCAAGAGGAGCAACTTCAAGACCTCGTTGCTGGCTCTTTGCCTACTTATGCGGCTAGAAACTTCGAGGCGTGGCAGCAGGGTTTAGTAGAGAGCACGGGTGGGCTGGTCCTCGCAATGCGGACAGCTCATCAGACTTACGACTACCGTCATCCAAGAAAAGGCAAAGCACATCTGGACCGGCACCGGCGCACTGGCGGAGCCCCGCCTCCTCAACCTATGCGGTGACCTGTCAAAAGCCGGGGCGGAGCTCTTCAGGCGAAACTGCTCAACACAAGGCTCCAGCAGGAGATCGTGGAGGCCATCATCAAGGAGTATCAGGCCCAAACTCGCAAAAAGACGGGCGACAAGGACGTCTGGCATTGGCGCAATCCTCTTCATCGCAACGTGGCACTCATCCGCTTCTATTTGGCGACCGCATTCAAGCCATGAGGGTTTTGGCAGGTGACTGGCCAGGACAGCGGCAGTCCAACTGTCCAGTTGCTGGCAAAGGAGGGTAGCGCTCGGCTCACGCTCGATCATATATGGGATCGGGATGCCTCTTGAGGCGGTCCTCATCTGTGGGTAACCACTCCGAGACCACCGTGCGCGTGAGTCACACGGTAGTGTTTAATGGAATCACCTACGCTTGCAAAATTGGATTCATTGAGATTGCCACGCATCGTATGGTTCTCCCCACACGAACCTTAGCTAACGTTTCTACACGTTTTGTAAGAATTTCGTCAAACGAACTTTCTGAACGAAAATCCAAATTTTGGTTATAGAAACGCGATCGCGGCAAGCCGTGCGCAAAAGTTAAGAAACGTGCGCGAAACGTTCTCCACCCATTGGTTCTTGGACTTCGTACACGATCCATAGCTATCTAGTTTCTGCCTTTTCCCAGAGAATTTTGTCAAAACAAACTTGTTCCACGAAAATCGGAAAATTGGCTTCAGAAACGCGATCGCGGCAAGCTGTGCGCCAAAGTTAAGAAACGTGCGCGACAGACCATTAACATTCAAGAGGTCCATGAAGTGAAGACTCAGCTGCGGAACCTCTTTAGGGTTTAGGGTTTAGGGTCACAAAAATATCGGTAGCAGCTTAAAGGATGTAGAAATCTCAACAAGGATCAGGACCAGAAAAGATTGCACCTTACTGCTTGACACCCGAAACCCTGAACTCTAGACCCCAAGTCCTAAATCCTAAACCCTAAACCCATCAACCTTGTATCGGACATGGAATCACAAAAAGACTTGTGCGCTTCCCAAAAACTACTTCTACAGCGGATACTAAAAATCCTGCATGACGTTGTGTGGCTCATACTTTGGAAATGATGGGTATTAAGCTCGTTAAAGGCAACCCATGTTCTGCTAACTTACTCTAAGGTCCTCAACAGCAAGCCTCCAAAAGCAACAGCCCTGATTGCCCTGCCTTGTCATAGAGACATCCAGCCACCCTTTGCCTGCAGAAGGTGGGAAAGCAGCTGCCAGGGTTTAGGGTTTAGGGTTTAGGGTTTTAGGGTTTAGGGTTTAGGGTTCTAGCATTTTGAAACGCTGCCCCCTAAGAATAGACAAAGTCTCCCTTCCCTTACTTGTTCCAGTATTAGGGGGAATTGTTATCTCCCACGAGCCACGGCCGCCTCTGAAAGCAACATTTCCGAGCAAGTCCATTTGAGCAAACCTACATATTCCGACCCTAAACCCTAAACCCTGAAGGCCCTAAACCCTGGGCCTCAGCCCCTTGATTCACCATTTGTTCAACCTGACCTGGCCTCTGTTGAAAGTAGTCTTGTCCTTTCCAAGATATTTTCCAGGATTTAGGGTGCTCTGGAGGTGGACAAGAGGCGTCGTTATTATCAGAGCTGCTTATTCCCAAAGAGCAGGGATCGTTATCATTCTTGATCTTTTGAAGTAAGTCATTCTAATGAGTGCTGTTTCCACTTCTATCCTTATGTTTTGGGCAGAGGTAGAAGCCTTTCCCGCGCCTGAACTGCTTGAAGTGCTTGCCATCACACCCCAAACCCTAAGCCCTAAACCCTATACCCTTAAAAACTTGAAGGTCTTTGGAGGCCCTCAAATCTTCCCCCACAACAGGAGGATCCAGCCACCGGTAGAGATTGCGCAATATTCCTTAGTTGGACCCCACACTATAAGGGATAATGGTGATTACATTAGCATCTTGTTATATGCCTATAATACCACTATTGCAGGGTCGCGGGGTCCACCTCAAATATTTCTGACATGTGATTGGCACTACCTGAGATAAATTCCTACCTAGCCCTGAACACACCTTCCTCATCCTCAAGCGTGCTCCTTAATTCCCTCTTGCCAGAAACTTCATGTTTGCCGACGTCGCTATGAAACAATACCATCCAACCAAGACTTGCCAGTCCCTGAGAACCTAAACCCTTTGCACCCTAAACCCTAAACCCTAAATCCTAAATCCCGCTTCCAGCCCGGAAGAGCTTATGGCGGCTAGCAGCGGGCGAAGGGTCGAAGGAATGGAAGATAACACGGAAAGCACCATGGCTTTGGCGGCATTATAGGGCCAACTACGAGGATCCGGTAGTTTCAATAATTCTTGATTTGATTCTCAATTATTGGGATCATGAAGCCCTAAATACCCACCCCGTTGTTGTGATTCTTCTATACCGTATCCGCAACCCTGCAAAAGAAGCAGCTCATCGGCCTCAGGCGATAACCTTCCTCCGCTCCTCGCTCAACGGACCTTCACAATGCGGTTAAGGGGTTAGGGTTCAGGGTTTAGGAACCTCGGGGGTTGTATGTGGGGGTGGTACCAGCGGAAAGAGGTCTAGGACCAATACAAAAAAAAAACGTCTGGGTAGCTTCGGATTTTCAATTGAAAGGCCATTCGGCCTTCCTACGAATGTGGGTATCATCTGGAGATGTTCATAGGCTTATGTTTCAGGTCGGGCCCCCACCCAGTAAGAAAGGCCACAAGACATAAGGGAAATCATATTAGGGCAGTTCCCAGTACTAGGGACTGATTTTAGTACCCCTGAATGCTTGGTGCCTTAGTGCCTTAACACAATCCACAACCAAGAGAGGCCCATCACTTTTTCAGCAACCCATATCAGGGTCCCTATATATTCCTAGTATACCACGATTAGTGGTTGGGGGCCTAACCCAACTAAGTTTCCCAAAATCAGGGGACCCCAATATAGGCCCTAATATAATTACTATAGTCCTTATTATGGGGATCCCTCAAAAAATACCCCTATTTTTTGGAAGCTCATGTTACTCGTTCGAAGGTGCATCTTGCAGCTTCTGGGCATCTTCAGGGCTAAGGCTTTAGGGATTAGACACGCGCATCGGCGCAGCAGTGCAGGCACGGCAAGTGATGGTTCAGGGTTTAGGGTTCAGGGTTTTGGGTCTAGGGATTAGGGTTTAGGTTTTAAAGTTCAGGGTTTAGAGGTTAGAGTGTAGGGATTAGGGGTTATGGGGTTTAGGGTTCAGGGTCAAGCGGCAAAGGGACCTTCAGCGGCTTCACTGCCTGAACTTACCGCACGTTTGTAGAGACTGGAAGCCAGGGATCAGTGCAGGAGTGCAATATCATCATCATCCTTTGAAATAGTCAGTCCCTACGGGTCATATTGCATTATTCCCGGCTCATCAACAGTATGTCAAGCGTCCCTGACATGCACAACGCTGTCCGTCAGTTAGATGCTGAGTTGGGGACTGCGCAAACTCCTGAACTTTAGGGTTTAAGGCTTATTGCCGGCAGAAACATGCTGCCCTGAAGCGACATGTTGGAAGAAGGCTTCCAGACGTACATTGCTGACGAATCCCTGAGGGTCCAAACGCTTGAATCCTAGGCCCAGCGAAGCGATATAATTTGGCACACATGTAAGCTCGCACCATCGCTGGAACTCCCTCAGAAGTCTAGTTTAGGTTGTAGGGCAGGGTTTAGCCAACCACTCAAACGACCGTTTCATGAGCCATAGTCTAAACTCTTCGTATCCCCCTTAATAACCCCCAGAATGCTTCCCTATCTATCCCTATAATCCCCTCTAAGGAGTTGAGACTATAGCTTAAACAACAGTGCCATGGGATGTGTATTTGACGTAGGGCTTAGGGATGTGTATTACAAGCCCCTCTGACCAGTGCTCCAGAAACAAACACGGAGAACAAAACCTGGGTTGCTGCTGAGGACTTAAAGTAAGTTTCTATTATGATACGGAAACCCTATTATGTACTATACTATATACCCACATCTTTGCAACTTAAGCCCTACACCCTTGAACCCGTATACCCATATTGTTATGGTAACCCAGAAATCCCTAACCCCTGAACCCCAAAACCCCCGATTCTTTGCAAGGTGCACGGCGTCGCTGATGGACCCGGGTGGAGACAGGGCAGCAAGGATCTTCAGCGCCACCTTTGCCAAGCATGGGGTTTAGGATTTGGGCTCTGAGTAATTAATGGTTTAGGGTTTAGGGGTGAAAAACTGCTGTCAGTTTGTTCTATACTTGCAAAATGCCAAAAAAAATACTGATGTTCAAAACGTCGGGCGCGTGTTCTCCACGGCCTGCATAATTTACAGCTTAGGGTTTTATTGGCATCTCTGTAGATCCAAACCACACAATGTTGTTGCTTTTTTCCCCTTTCCTGTGGCGTGCTCGCACGAGGAAATTCTTCAAACAGAAACCTATCCCCGAAATGACCATAAGGTACTGCAGGTTCCCGTTTTGGTTAAGACACTCCCTTTAAGGAAGTGTGTTCCCCATGGTCCCTAAACCCTAAATCCTAAACACTATGACCTTTAGAACAACCCCCGCTGAACCCAAGATGACCCAAGACTCTGTAACGGCAAGTCTTGGCCTCAAACCCTCAGCACTCACCCTGCCCAGAGCCCTTCGTGAATAATGCAGGGCCTAAATGGCGAGTTCTCAAATTGTATTCCGGCACCTATTCTTTAGTGGTACCGAAATGCGACCCTAATTTCTTGAAGTACCCAACTGATTAGAATGGGTTCTTGAACGCGCGCGGTGTACTTCACTACACCTCGGAATTGATTACGGAGTGATGACATTGGAACTATTTAGGCCGCTAGGCTTCTGCATGACACACTGCATAAGCCCATGTTAAAAACCCAGGTCCGCTTCATTTTCGAGCTGTTCACTTATCGGCTCGCTACTCAGGCTACTACATCTTTTTGACCCTTCATATAACTACTTAGACCTCTTAATTTCCTGTCCCCTAAAACCTGAACCCTATAACTACTTAGACCTCTGAATATCCTGTCCCCTAACCCTGAACCCTAGCCCTAAACCCCACACCCTAGACCCTGAACCCTACATCCTAAACCCTGAACCCTAAAAATCGTCAACCCTAAACCCCTAAACCCTAAATCCTCACTTCCCTCGAGGCCTCCTTGGCTTGGCTCGAACCAGAGGAGAGAGTGGCTCCAACCTTTAGGCCCGACATAACCCTAGGTTTAGGGTTCAGGGTTTTGGGGTTAGGGTTTAGGGTTCAGGGTTTTGAGGTCTAGGGGTTTAGGGTTCAG